CAGGATAAGGTTGAATTAAGATATGCAACTTCAGCTAAATTAATTGTATAGCTGAAGTCGAAGTATCTTACCTCGACTTTTGGCGCTGTCTACACTGCAAGAAGTTGAAGGGAGAACCCTCTCCTTTTGACTTCCCTTACTCCTCGTGGGACTACCAGCATCGATTGGAGAGCCCCTTGACTAGACCCGCTAATTTGAACTCTGGAAGATTGACTAAGGCTGTGTCGACCTTCTCTGTAGTGTAGATATACCCTGAGAGACATTTCCAGGATTCCTGACAATGCTGTTTCTGAATTAGGGCTTGTCTAGACTGCATTCCTCTCTCAAAAGAGGAATGCAAATGAAACAGATTGAAAATTCAAATGCAGGGGATTTACAAATCTCGCGCTTTATTTGCATAATCACTTTTATTTTTGAACCTGCCCTCCCTCCCACCCTGCAGTCTAGACAAGGTTCTTTAAGAAAAAAAAAACCTTTTTTGAAAGAACCCGTACTCCTGAAAAAATGAGGTGTACTGGTTCTATTGAAAAAGGGGTTTTTTTCCGAAAGCACTCCGTCTAGACTGCAGGGTTTTTTTTTGAAAAAGCCTTTTTCGAAAAAGTGCTTGGACACAATTTTGCAAATGAAGCGTGAGGTTTGTAAATCCATGCTTCATTTGAATTTTCAATCTGCTTCATTTGAATTCCTCTTTTGAGAGAGGAATGCAGTCTAGACAACCTTAGAGTGCCTAGGGAGAGAGAAGAGGTCTACGGATGCTAAAACTGATGACACAAGTAGCAATACATTTGTGATTTGTGATAGCCAGAGTTTCTCCTTAGAGGAGGTAAAAGAACCTCTTTCTTAATTTCCGTGGCTAAAAGGAACTTTGGTTTCAGGCCTAGGATAAATTTTGGCTTCAGTAACTCAAAGTTCAGCAATCTGGGACTGTTCAGACTGGCTACATCTACACTGGCCCCTTTTCCGGAAGGGGCATGTAAATTTCATCAGTCGTCGTAGGGAAATCCGCGGGGGATTTAAATATCCCCCGCGGCATTTAAATAAAAATTTTCCGGCTTTTTTAAAAGCCGGAAAAAAGCGGCGGACATTTTTATTTAAATGCCGCGGGGGATATTTAAATCCCCCGCGGATTTCCCTACGACGACTGATGAAATTTACATGCCCCTTCCGGAAAAGGGGCCAGTGTAGACGTAGCCACTGTGTTTCCCTGTCCATGTTTTTGACTGTTGATTATCTGGGTCTCTGCAAATACTGCAGACACTGTCTGACATGCTTCACTCATAGAGAGTCAAATAGAATTTAAATACA